AGAATCCATCTACACTGCAGTAATTTTGTCATGATTTTGTTCAGCCCAACTGCACAGACCCTTGTGACCAAACCTCAGCATTTCTGACAGCCACCCTTTGGAGATGTGCCCTATTATTCCACCCAAATTTATCTTTTATTCATTAGATTCCTGGAACTTTCACCACTTTTATTCTGTGTTACTTACAGGAAGAAATGTAAGAATCTTCACGAACATTTAGCCAATTTAAATGTGTGTGATCAGAGGCTTCAGGCACAGCGTGAGACACCACAAACCCACTCTGGCTGGGGTTTAATATTCTACTTACAAGCAAGATATGATGTGGAGAATTAATATTTTGCTATTTGGAGAATTAAAACCTTGCCCTGGCTCGAATTAACCTTTGATTCCAAACTCCCCCCCATGGCAGTAGAGTTTGTTTCCCTCAATATCCTGCTCAAGAAGCTCAAATGCCACCAGTTCCTTGGCTTCTCTCCCAGTCTCTGGGTGGGTTCAAGGGGCTGAAGTGCTGAGTATTTTTATACAACAAAACACCAACCCCCTCAAAAAGCTACAACAGCAAAACAAGCTCAGTACCTGCAATAAATACTTTCAAACTCTCATCAATTTCTGTTTTCAATGAGATCCAACAGTAATTAATGGTTTGTGTCTTCAGGAGAAATCTTTCTCACAGCAAAGTTTTGCACAGCCTGAAGTTGTTGCCAGCAAATTCTACTTAAACTGGCTTGCACCAAGCAGGGATTTGATGTTCTGGAGTAATTCAAAAGGTTACCTGCAGTTGTACTGCCAACTACAATGGTCTCCCAGCTTCTGGGGCTTTTAGCAAGTCTTGATATACAGGATAAAAGTATTTATTTCTTTTCACCCAAGTGTGATGTAAAGCAGCTGAGCTATAGATTCACTATAGAACTTTTCTTCAAATGTTTGCTCCTTCAAACCAGAGAGGAGCACATTCAGTGCTGATTGTCCTGCTTGTTTCTGTATTTTGTGCATGAAGAATTAAGGAGAACAAGGCAGTGCAGGCTCTTGAAGGTAAGAGAAGAGGAGGAAGGTCTAGAGGAAGCTACACAACTTTCTTTTGTTGTTGTTTTCAGTCATTTATGGCAGCTTTTAGGTAGAAGCTGCACTGCTGAGGAGCAAAGTGCTGTGATCTGAGCCCTAAATATCAACCTCGATTCTCAGACGCAGGGGATAATCTTATATTTTCAAAACACTTCCCCTTTTCCTGTTATTTCAGTTGAATAATAAAAGAATAGGGATAGATAGCACTGAACTGGGGCTTTGTGAGAAGAATTTCATATTCTGGTTGCTCCCTCCCTTCAAAACTTCATCCACTGCTGCTGTTCCAGATGTTTCCAGCAGCAGAATTGAGGTCTGGCTTTAGGGAGAGCTGTGAGGGATTTCCCCTCCTTGGATCCACCCTTTGCACACATTTTATGTTATAGTTTAATTATCATTTCTGGACTTGTGGCTGCTCCCTTTCTGAGGGAAACACCAGCCCTTTGTTCTGCTGGAACAAAGGAACTCCAAACGGATTTTGGGGTAATTAAATCCTCATTATGGTGCTGACAGTTCCCGTTGATTGGCACCACGTGTCTGTTCCAAACAGGACCCGCAGGGATAATTAATTGTGGCGAGCCCATTAATTTGCCATTTGCTTTGTATGACATTTTACACAAGTATCAGGCCAAGAGCCCTGCCTGGGCACAGGGGGTGTCTCAGCTCCTTGGGATTTCCCAGAGCATCCAGAGAACTCTGAGCTCTGACTTGCTGCTCCCAGGAATTGGTTGCTTTTAAAAATCTTCATCTCAGGCCTCCATTAAAAATGACGTTCTTAAGACAAAGGCATCTTTGGGTGTGCGAAATATTTCAATCAGGAGAGATAACAATTATTTATGAAGTTGTTTTGCAGATAGAGAAGAACAGTGTAGGAATGGAAATGACCTGCACACCCATTTGGAAAAGGAGCCTTACTCACATTTAGGTTCACATGTACATAAATAAATCCAAATAACTGTAAAAACCCAGTTTGATTAAAACATAAGGAATTTTTTTTCATTTTTATTTTACAGTGAAAATACAGCTAAATAAAAAGGTTTCAATTTCTCTATTACTGTGGCTCAAATGTAAATATTTTGTCTGAGTTTCATCTTAAAAATGTACTGTATTAAAAGGCCTTTTATTATTTATTGCCATAAATTTTTTATTCCTTTTTAAAATCATATAATGCAAATTTTTGTCCTGGTTCTCTTGCAATTAATTCCTCTTAAATCATATTATGCCAATTTTTGTCCTGATTCTCTTGCAATTAATTCCTCTTCGGGGTGATCTAAGAATTCAAGAATTTGATTTGGGTTTTGAATGAGAATTTGTAAGGAGGGTGGAATTCATCCTTGGTAAAATTCCACGTTCATCTGTCAGAGAGCTTAGAGGAACTTGAATTTTAAGGATGTATTTCATCACCTCTCTGTGTAATTATGTCTCAGTGATGTTTTTTTGCAGGCATCAATTATGTCCTTCCTCTTCTTGATTAAAATAACCCTTCATTAAAAGCCACCTCTCTTCATTTGGATGCGTTTTGATGACAGAACTTGAGGCACTTTGCAGGTCTTGGCTAGCTGAGGGTGCTCCTTGCTGGATCACTTCTCTCCCAAATTAGCTGCTGGTAAATTTGAAGGATAAAGATTTGAGGAATACAGATTTGAAGAATACAGATTTGAAGAACAAAACCAATTCCTAGATGGGGAGGAAATATGGATGAGCTGGCAGTAATTTTACATTTAAGCAGATAATACTAAAAGAGTTTCTATTGACTTCCTGCCCCTTTTTTAATTTTTTTTTTGACTGGGAAGATCTATCTGTATTAACTGAGAAATATGGAGATAAATTCTGGGCTTTGGGGTTTTAATTGTTTAATTTACCCTGTTAATTCTGCCATTCCCCAGCTAAAGAGGGAATTTTAAACACACATTTTCTGCATGGCTGCATCCATCAGGAGCAGCAGCTGCAGCTCTGGAGGTGAAACCTGCCCAGGTGCTGCAGGATCTGTGCAGGCACCTGGAAAACCTGGCCATGGTTCAATATTTTCATTTTCCCTCCCTGGCTCCAGCTGTTGGCATCTCCAGCCTCCCACTCCATCACTACAGGAATTTCCCTTCATCCTCAGCTGCTGTGGGTGACAGCAGAGACAGAGCAGATTCCTCTTTTTCATTTTTAAATTTCATTTTATTTCATTCAAATGTTTATATTTCATATAAATATTATATTTTTAATTTATTATTATATTATTATATTTAATATAAATATTATATTTTTATTACAGATTTATTCTGTATCATTTATCTACTATATTTTATTGGCTGTAATTACAGGATCAGACTTTATATCCCTGAATTTATTGCCATGGACAATAACTGAACCAAACACAACAGGAAGAATTGTTTTATATATTTAACTGTAATTTGCTTGGATTAATTTAATACTAAACCTTTCTACTAAATTATAATTAAACTATGTGTATACCTATGTATATTCATTATATAATCAATTGAAACCAGTGAAAATCAATTAATTCATTGTCACTCACAATGTGGAGGGAGAGGAGCATAAATCTGAGGTTGTAATAATTTATAATTTATATTAACTTGAAATACAGATTTCAAAGAAATCTCTGCTCAGGGTGTTGAGGGTTAAAATCTTTTATGTGAATATCTTTATGTGTGCATCTGTTGCTTTAAGTTGCTTCAAAATGTTGAGGTTTTGAAAAGAAATATTTTAATGTTATAGTTCCAATTACAAAAGGAAATTCCCGAAAATTAAGGTTAACAGGTAAAAATAAAGGTTAGATTTTTTTTCAGGAAAAACAAAACAAATTGAAAAAAACCCATCTATTTAGGAATTTTTTATTTTTGGCTCATGTGTGTTGGTAACTAATTCAAATAATTTCTTCACCTTTGACTTTAAGGAAAAGTTGTTCTAAAATGAAAATTTTATCGCTGACCTGAAAAAGTGAAACATTTGTTCATTTATAACAGATCCAAAATACTGGGAATATTCTGGTTTTTTCTTTTGACTTCCTTTCTACCTTAGCACAGGTTATTTTCAGTAATGAATAATGGGGAGCCCTTGAATCAAATTAATTTGGTTTTAACCCATTGTTTCACCAGTAATACTGGTTTTCTTCAATATTTTCTTATTTTGTTTGTAATTAATTCATTTTTTTCCCAGTATTTCATATGTAGTCCCTGTTTTATTCAATATTATATATATTTTTGTAATTAATTCAGTTTGATACTGGTTTTTCATAGGTAATGCTGGTTTTCTTTTTCAATACCACCATCTTTTATTTTTAATAATTTAATTTTATTCCGGTGCTTCATATATAATGTTGTTTTTTTTCCATATTATCATCTTTTCTTTTTGTATTTAATTCAGTTTTATCCCAGTATTACACATGTAGTGCTGTTTCAGCTCAATTTTTGTTTGTAATTAATTCAGCTTTATCCCAATATTTCATATGCAATGTTGATTTCTTCAATATCATAACCTTTCTTTAAAATTAATCTAGTTTTATCCCAGTATATCACAGGTAGCGATATTTTAGCTCAATATTATAATTTTTTTGTAATTAATTAAATTTTATTCTGGTTTTTTTATATGTAATGCTGTTATCTTCAATATTATCATCTTTTTGTTGTAATTATTCAGTTTTATCCCAGTATTTCAGATGTTTTAGCTCAATATTATAATTTTTTTTGGTGATTAACTCAGCTTTATCCCAGTATTTCATATGCAACATTGTTCGCTTCAACACCATCATCTTCTTTGAAAATTAATTCAGTTTTATCCCAGTATTTCATATGCAAAGTTGTTTTCTTAAATATTTTCCTTTATATAATTTTTTTTTTTTGTCATTAATTCAGTTTTATCCCAATATTTTACATGCAGTGCCTTTTTAACTCAATATTATAATTTTTTCCCTTCTGTTTTTTCCATGAAAGACGAAGGGTGCTGGCAATTTCCGATGGGATTGAGCACATTGGGAATCTGCGCTGGGAGCTCGCCCTGTGCCTCCTGGCTGCTTGGACAATTTGTTATTTCTGCATCTGGAAAGGGACCAAATCCACTGGAAAGGTGAGGCTGAAATTCTGTGCAGCAGCTGGAATGAGTGCTCCAAAATATTTATATTTATATTTATATTTATATTTATATTTATATCTATATCTATATTTATATTTATATTTATATTTATATTTATATTTATATTTATATTTTATATTATTTATATTTATATTATTTATATTTATATTTATTTTATATTTATTTTATTTTATATTTATATTTATTTTATATTTATTTTATATCTATATTTATATTTTTATTTTTTATATTTATTTTATATTTTTATATTTATATTTATACTTTTATTTATATTTATATTTTTATATTGATTTCCATCAGAACATCTGAATTTCACACTTGGGAGGTATATAAATAGCAAAATTAATTGTAATTAAGAATTGTTTGGTTTTTTTTTTTTCTTTGTTCTTTTTTGGTTTTGTGATGTGATTTTTTCCTGATTCTGTTAGGCTGGGTGGTCTTGCTTGATGTTTATTAATTTAGCAATGAGCTTTACTGACCAGTCCTTGAACTCTGAAACCAGATTGTGTTGATTTCTGTGCATAAATTCTGCAAAATTTGGATTTTGCCCTGAACTATCAGGAGGCAAAAGTCTCAGTCCCACAAAAGAGTTTCTGAGAGTTTTGATGCACATGAAAAGAGAATTGAGAAATACAGATTGAACAGCAGGAGGAGAAATAATGAAAGCACTCAGAGAGGGCTTTATTTCTTTATTTATTTGCTGTATTTATATTTATTTATTTAATGATTTATTTATATTTAATGATTTAAATTTTATTGATTTATTTATTTATTATCAAGATGGGAATATTATGGGGAAAATTAAAAATATTTAGCGTTTTTTTGAGTGGATTCCAGTCATCCCTGGGAGCAGGGAGAGGGAGCAGTGGGATGAGGGAGAGGCTGCCCTGGTATCAGCCACAGCTCTGAGTAGAATCTATGAATTATCAACTTCACTGAGAGGGGAAAGGAGCCACAGATCTGGAGGGAGCATCTTAAAAAAGCCCTGGTTTCTCATGTTGGAACTGAAGGAAACCACAAACAACATTGGTGCATTCAAACATTCAATTTTCAAATGTTTCTTATGTAGTTTGGGTTGTGGTTGGGTTTTTATTCCTTTTGTTGTTGTTTCTGTTTTAGTGACCTCTGTTTATAAATGAAATATTTGAAACGCAGTGGATTTTTTGATATTTAAAAAACTCCAGGGTGTCACCTGCACACGTCTTTTATCCTCTCACCATTTTGGGCTGCTCCTCATTTCTGGTTTGCGTGTGTTCCGCTCAGTCTGGCGCCGCATTTCCCACGGAGGCATGGCCACACTGAGATCCCTGCAGCCCTGCTGCCATCGAGGCACCGCGGGGAAAGCGCTGAGAAACCCTGCCCAGGGCTGAGAGGAATGGTTTAGAGCAGGGGAAAATCCTAAAGAGGGGAATCTGGAGAAGCCAAAGGGATCCATAGGAACGAGGGGACAAATGTCCTCGCCTCTTTGGCGATGGGAATGTATTCTGGCGTGGTGTGATCTGCCCCAGGAGAGCAGGGAAGAGCACACGTGTGCGCACACATGCGAGGCCGGGCCGAACGCGCTCCCACGAAGAGCAGCGGGAGCAATCCTGGCCCAGGAGGGGCTGAAGTGGCTTCAGAAAGGATTTATTTCACATTCCTGGAGTTTACATCCAGGATTTTATTGTTCTTTCATTCTTTTAGTTTATACCACTTCCCCAGAACCAGATCTTGAGCTTTAAAGGTGGATAACCTGTCTGACCTTTGTTTTTTTTAAATTCTTCTGATAGCTTAGCTAAACCCTCAGCTTTAGGTAGGTGGAATAAATTGATTTTATTCCAGTGGGATTTTGATAACCACCTCTCTGATGAGGGCAGTCTGAGATAGAACAGCTTGTCTTGGGCATGTGAAATGGCATAATAAACTTTTCAAGAAGCAGAAATAACTTTTAGTCTTGCAACAGAAGTGCAAAGAAAAGGGAATTATTACCCAATATTCAGCTTTATAGGTCTCAAGCTTAAAATATTTAAATCAGGGTTCTGTAAGAGGCAAACTCATTATATATTTGCACCATTTAAATCAGTTTGCCATGAGCAGCAGCTCTGTTTCCAGACTCCTGAGGAATTCCTCAGGGCTGATAAATTCCCCCATTCCTCAGGGGACTGTGCCATCCATGAATCTGCCTTTCCAGAGGCTCCATGGCTCTCAGTAAGGATCTGTCCTAGCCAATATTATTTATTTTTCCAGCTCTGTTTCTGCGCTGCAGGTTTTTTTTCCCTGGGCATACATTTACTGCTTATTAATTTATTAATTTCCTTTTTATTCAATATTCTTCCACTTGCCACTTTTTCCAGCCTAATCTCTGGAAATCTGAGAATTTCCAGAGTCCCTGGAATTTCCAGAATCTCTGGAAATCTGGGCCGTGGCACTGCCTTCCCAGAGCAGCAATCTTCCCAGCTTAAAAAACAAAAGCAGCACTCAGGTGTTGGGGATGCTGCAAAGGGATTAAATGTTCTGAAATATTAATGATGTAGCAGATTTCTGGGCTGAAGTTTGCATCTCAAATCTATTGACATTTCTAGAATTCATATTTAAGCTCGTCCATAAGCCTTCCCACTAAATTGAATTTATGACATTCCCATTTCCAGGAAATATTTAAAATTTACTTCTGGGTTTTTTATTATAATAATATTCCCATGTGTTAAATTTATGATATAATTTAATTGGATGGAATATTTTCAATGAATAAATACCTTTATTCAAAGGAAAAAACTTCTCAAAGTTTTATCACCTCTGGAACTTTTTTAAAGGGAGGTGTCTGGGGGACAGGATCATGGAGAGAAAGAGGACAGGGGAAACAGAGTTGAGATGGAGAAGGTGAGGAGAGGCTTCCTCTGCACACCCTTGTGCTTTGTGAAATATTCAGGAGGTTGGTTCACCCTTTTCCTCTTTTTTACTCTGCATTCTAATGCACAGTGAAAAAAGAATCCAAGCCTTAAAAGCTGTTATAAAATAACCCAGTCATTCTCCAACCAGCACTACCACAGATCATCAATATTTAATATTTCAGGATATTAAATATATTAAGACTAACATAAAGTTTAACTCCAGAGGAAGTGCTTATTACACTGTTAACAGGATGTTCCAAACTTTTCCATTACTGTTCTTGAAATTCATCACTTTCTCACAAAGCATTTCCATTTCCCATTCTAACAGATGTGAAATAGCAGGATAAATCCAGGTGATTCTGGCAGCTTCCAGCTGAAATAGATTTGTGCCCTTTCAGAGGTTCTTGTCCTTAATTATTCAAGCTTTTCTTGCCCTGAATTATCCAATCTTAGATCTGAAGATACCTGTGTGCCAGCTTTCACATTTTAAATGTTGCAAATATGCAAAATGCAGGATCTTTCAAGAGAAACTCAAAACCAGAAGGAGAAAAATATGCCAATGCAGTGTTACCTTGATTTGATGTGTATTGTGAAATTTGCTTGATAATATCCCATTTCCATCTCATGGAGAAGAGTTTTCAGTAGCTGAGATCAAATGCTTCCAAAAATGAGGAAACAACTCTCTAGAAGACTGAAGAAAGTTAATTTTTTTAACATTTAAATTGTCATTCCAGTCTCTGATCATTAGGTTTGGTTCAGTATCTGATTTTTCCACACTACTTTTGATTTCTGGTTATGACAATTCTGAGTTTTTCTATAATGTACATAGAGCTGCTGAGTTTTCCTAATTTTTTGATTTTCCTATTTCATTAATGAAATCTACAGGTAGAAGGGAACCTGTTCTTTTATGGATCTTGATTGTCCATTCATTAATTTAACTAAATGCTCTTGTGCTTTAAACTTTGAGAGAGCAACACCAGTAGTTGCCAATGTATTTTTTCCTAAACTACATGCTGAAGGGAGTAACCCTAATGTTTTCCTTTTCATTTATTTATTTTTAATTTATTTTCATGGGAGTTTTGGCAAACAAAGCATTCCACTGAGCTCAGCCGTGTCCCACTGCATCTTCTGCCCAATTCCTTTTAAAGGAGGAGCCTGCTGGACTCAAAGTTATAGAAAAGCATTTTAAGGCTTCTTTCCTGCTCTTTCCTGAATTTTTGGGTGCATCAGCACATCCCTGTCTTGTGCTGACGTCCCTAGGCTGAAACCCTGGCAGGGACCTGGAGCTGTAAAACTGTAAAGGTTGGGATGTCTCTGGTGAAACTTTTTGGTTTTAAAGAAGGTTCAGCACTGAACTTGGAACTGTTGTCTTGGTGTTTGGCTGCATCTTAGAAACCTCCAAGGACAGGGATTCCTCAGGTCTTGGGAAAACCTCTTCCAGTGCTTAATTCCCTCGTGATGAGTCATTAATCAATTATTTCCTACATGGGGGTTCATGACAATATTTAATTTTGTAACAAATGATTTAATTTTTATCACCTTGTTACATTTCTGTTATCCAGCCCGGAGCAAAGCCCATTTTTTGTATTATTTGTGTCACTACAGAGCGTGGGTTTGAGTGTCTCCAGCTATTGATTTGAAAAGATTTCTGTATTAATAATCTAAAATAATAGACTCAAGTTAAAAACCAATCCAGCTTTTCTGCCTGGGCATCTTGAGTGGGAATGAGAGCTAACCAGCATTGATGTGCTTCAGAATTTTGTGCTGTAGATGAGGAAAAGTTGAATCTAAAGTATTAAAAACCCCCACAACCTTGCTATCATTTTAATTTATTGATATTAGAGCATTTTACCCCACCCACAGCACATTAATTAAACTGTAGATGAGATTTTTGTCATGTTATGACTCAACACCAAGCCAGAATTTTCTGATGTGAAGTGTTAAAAGAATATTTTTCCTCCAGGATTTTTATTGAGTATTAGAATATCACACTGATTGTATGAACACTGAGACCAATTCTCATAAATTCTGGGTCTTTTTGAAGGGGTTCTTGTTAACATCATGAAAATATTCTTTTGCCACAGCTAAACTCAAACGTTTCTCGTG